CCTAAGTCCACAATTCCAGCCTTAAATTTCTCTACCAAGTTCTAATCATCTGTCCTACTGTGTAGCTGTCCATTTTCATTTAACTATCCCACTGTCACCTCAAACCTAACATATCCAAAACGTAAGTCCAGCTGTCTGTTATCTCCTCAACCAGCTAACACCTTCTTACCTATTTCTACCAGTACTGCCATTAATAAAATTCTAGTTCATTCTTTGTCACTAACTACCTGAGTAACTTTAGACACATTTTTAAATCTCTCTGTGTCTCAGGTTCCTAATGCATAAAATATATAGACTGGCTCAGATGTTCTCAGATGTCTTGAAGTTCCAATAGTCTTGATTTCCTCTGTCATTGAGGATCAAAACTTCAAAGTCATCTTTCATTACTACTTTGCCTCCCTACTCCTGCATCTTCCTTTCTTATCCAATACATAATAAAGCCTTGTGTGATATTTGTGCAGCCTTATTTCCCCTAAATTGAAATCCTTATTACTTCAGGCCTAAATTATTTTCCCAGCTCTATCACTTCTTCTGCCAGTTCACACTATGCCTACCAATGGTGCCATTTATTTTCCTATAATAATTCTTTTGGCAAGCTCTTTCTCAAACCAAAACCCAAAAGTGTCTCTCTTACTTATGGAGCAAAATACAGTCTTCTCATCCTAGGATTTAAAAGCATCCATAATTTAATTCCTAGTTACATTTTTCAACCTAATTTCTTTACTCTTCTCTCACACAAACCTTCATTTCAGTCAAGTTGTTTTATGTACTGTCCTCTGAACATGTCATGCATAGATTACTCTTATTTGCCTATTTTACAAGTTCCTTTCTCTTATGCAAAGTCAAAACCTGCCTACTTTTGATCCTGCCTCCACTCCAAAGTCTTTTCTATTCATTTCAACTCTAAGTGGTCTCAAATTCTATAGCTTTCATTATTTATCTTATCTCCCCAATTACATTTTAAGTCCTTAGTGTAAGGAATCTATTTTATATTTTTCTGCATCACTTTTGGACATAGCAAGGTACCTTTTACATTGTAGGTATTAATAAATATTTGTTTGGAGACTGTCTAAAATTCCATTTTAAAATACAGCTCTTACTAAATACTCCCCATGTGTTAACACTCTGTTTTTCTTAATCTAGTTATTATTCCTCAAAGCATACACAAATAGTTTGAAAAGATATTGCTAATGCCAGGAAAGGAACTATCAAAGATATTCTAAGATTAAAAGAACTACAGAAGTATAGTCAGGAATCAAGCAATATTTACTGAGAAACAGTCTCACAAATGAGAAAGAATTTTAACTGGGCATATAGTCAAAGTAGTAATAAAAGTAGAGGTAATAAATAATAATAATAATAATAATAATAATAGCTAAAAGTTAAGGTATGCTTAATGTGCCAAGCACTCGTCTTGAGTATTTTCATATATTAACTCATTTACTTTTCACTACAATCCAATGGAAAATGTACCACAATTTCCATTTTTCAATGAGGAAACTGAGGCCCTGCTCAGTTATTCCACACCTCGTGAAAAGTGCAAGAGGACAGACAATTGGGCTTCCAGAAGATGAGTGGAAATCATGAAAATAAAAAGATGGAGTAAGTATAGCTGTTATAAGAAAGTGTGGAAAGCAGTTTGCAAGATTACAGCAGAGAATATGTTGAGGGTCCTTAAACAAAAGACTCAATAAATAGGGCAGGGACTGATGACAGAGTATCTCACAAGCTAGGAATAGGAAGTCATATTTAAAAGGTGGAAAGTGGGAAGCCACTGAACATTTGGGGGCATGAGAATGCTACATAAGGAGTATTAGAGTGACACTTCTATCAAGGATAAACAGAAGTCAGAGATACTGGATACTGAGAGGTTGATATGACTTTTAATATTTTAAACTGAGGAAACAAGCCCTGAGATTCAGGTGGTAAAGTTGGAGAAGGTATGAGGGCAAAAGAAATATGGACAGGACATGTTCAATGGGTCAATATAGGAGGTAAATGAAAGGCAGCCTAAAGATGATGCCTAATTTAAAGCCTATATGACCAGGAGAGAAGGAAACTACAAAAGGATATAAAATGATAATTTTCATTTCGTACATGCTGAGTTTAAGGAGATGATAAAAAACACTAGTATATGACCAGTACTAGTAAAAGCAGGAAATGAGTAGAATGACAAGCAATGGTATTAGTTTGAAAATGAAAGAACTGGCAGAATCTATAAAGATATTAAATAGGAGAGGAAATACATTAAGCCACTGATCAACTTTTAGCTTTGTATCAATACTTATAGTAATAACTTTAGTAGGGTGGGGGACCAATGAGTGACTAACATCAAAAAATACAACTTTTCCATTTCAGAAAAGCCAACCAAAGGCCAAGACAGAAGTTACCAAACTTTCTCTATTCAGGAATAATTACTATTACTTAGTGAAAAACAGTAATTATTTAGCCTTAGTAATTTTTTCACAGCAACTCTAGGCCAAAGTAAATAGATTCAAATCATTCAACATCACATATCAATGTCCTTACAACTTGGTGCTTGTTGGGCACTGTACAACTTCTCAAACTTTAGAATCAAATTGGATATTACACTCTCATTTCCTGTATCACATTGATTTTCACACATAGTTGCTTTTTATCAAAGCGACCTTTAAAAATACATCTTTGCAAAGACATGACATTATAGAAAATAATGTGTCAATTTAAGGTTGAAATTGTGAACTACCTCAAACTAATAATTCAAGCCTGAGTTCACCGGTGCCCTGGGACACCTCAGCACACACTCTGGGAAACTGGGAGCAAAGGGAAGGGGCCTAAAAAGGGGGGAAAAATAATGAAATAGGGGAGGAGCAAAACAAAGCTCTTAGCACAGTTGACCACAGGGGGGCAGCACAATAGTTCCTAGAGGTAGCACAATGTGGGAGTAGAGAGTCATGGAGATGATAAAGATGATAAAAAGGCTAAAAGACCCCTTAATCAGTTCAAGACCTAAAAGTCTTTTTTCTCCTTATACTAAGGAGAAACAAACAATGGTCAATGGCAAATCATTCTCTGAATCTCTTCTCTGAATCTCCTTTGCCTGCCCAGCCATGATGGTAGTCAAGACTTTTATAGTAGCCAAGGAATATACTACTCTAAATGCATAATCTTATTCAGTCTTCATAGCAATCAAGAAAAGTGAGACTAAAAGAGATTTTAAATAATGCAACTATTAAGTGGCAGGAACAACAGAACTCAAACCAGATCTGACTCCAGAGTCCATGCTCTTACCTATTCCACCTCAAAAGTATCCATCTTTTAGCAATAGCCAGGTGTAGTAGAGAAAAGATACCATGCTCCCTTCCATACCTGAGACATCTGTCTCAAATCACTAGGAAAAACCAGTTAATAAAATAAAATAAGCCAGAGACGGGTAAGATTCCTCAAGGGAGGAACAACCTAAGACAGGCACAGTCGCAGGGGGGCCATCAGGTGAGAAATTGGGGATCAACAGTGGTGAGGCTTAGAACCTCACCCCCCCCTGTTTTGAGAGAAATCTTCTGCATCCGTGGATGTTTTAATGCCCCTGTCTAGCTTGGATTAACACATAGTCTACAGGCACACACCTGATCATCTACA